TTCCCCCCCCCCCCCCCCCCCCACCCCCTTCTCTCTCGACATCCACATTTCCTCTACCCTCCCCCCCTCCTTCATCGCCTCCCCTCACCGTCGCCGCAGCCTCCACCCTCCGCTGGTCCATGTCCGCGTTAGGGTCACCGTCCCCGAAAATAAACGAGAAGATGGATTCCAGAATCCTGGACAAGCAAAGCAAAGGAGGCATGGGGGTTGAGCAGAGGTTTCGACGGTTGTTGACGGTTGACGGGAGGGGTATGAGGATGGGCTCCAGAAATCTGGACAAGCAAGTACAGGAAGGAGGCGTGGGTGTTCAGCAGGAATTTCAGAGGTTTGGTCGGAACGGGTGAAGCGATGTGGCCCCTAACAATGTCATGCAGAGCGAGAGAGAGAGAGCGAGAGAGAGAGAGAGAGAGAGAGAGAGAGAGAGAGAGAGAGAGAGACGAACACGTGCGATTCGAGCAAATCTTCACGAAGATGCGGGGGAAGAGTTGAGAGGGGCGAGTCAAGGGGGCATGGATGGTGCAAACCGCTGGCAGGCGTCGGCCAGCACAACATTCACTGAGCACAGATTCCGATTCCGATTTCCAATGGCGGTCTGATGCGATCTGATGTGATCGATCGCAAAGCATCGGTCGGCAGCGGTGTGATTTGGTCGGATGTGATCGATGGGAGAAGGCGGGGGGGCGGTGAGAAACGTCCGGAAGTTTTCTAGGCCTCCAGCAAGGAGGGGGGTTCATCAGCCACCTCAAAACTCCGACCCCAACACGAGTCTTTCGGCCGAGTGTTAACGAGAGAGCAGAAAACCATCCATAGCCTGCCTCTCCCTCTCCTGTATTTTGGGGGATGTTGCGGACAAGGACTCACTATGCATCCTGGGGCAAAAAACTCGCTTACATCTTGGGGAACGCAAAAAAATAGCAACAACAGCAACTCTTGCAGCAATACAAGCCATCATTATCCTTAGCAAGTTAACAATACCAACAACAGCAACTTTTGCAGCAATACAAGACATCCTCATCCCGAGCAAGACACAGCAAGAGAGGGTATCCCTATCCTTACCCCATTTCTTCGGGGTCCCCCCTCTGCCCTCCCCGCCCCACCGGGGTCCCGTAGTATCCGTAGTACGGCCGGTAGTAGAAGAAGTCGAACGGGGAAGGGCCGAAGTACGTGTTGAATCCGATGCCCCTCCCGCCGTAGCCACCGTCAAAGCCGCCTCCGCCGCGTCTCCGGTCGCGGCTTTTGTTCACAATGACGAAGGGGGAGATGACGTCGGCGTCGGAAAAGATAAAGGCAGGACGGTGTTCTTGTGTGTCATTTTCGGTTAAGGGTAGGAGGATCATAAAGGCCACTGCAGTCGGTCGGTGCCCAAGAGGGGTCCACGTTGACAAGACAGAGTTGTATTGGTGGTGGCATGAATCGCCGACAAAATACAACGCCAAAAAGAGCCGGACCAGGTGGACGCTCGGCACGATTCTAGCCCCCCCCCCCACCCACCCATCGCTTCTTCTTCGTGCCACAAACCAATCACGCCCCGCCCCCGCCCCAACCGTACAGCACGTCGCATACGTAATTTACCACACCGCTTGGATCGATTTTCACAGCTCCACTACTCCACGACAGAGAGGACGTACATAGCAAACGACGTACATTTCCGGAAGCCTCTAAACGAGACGGTTTCAAGGTCTACCGGCATTTTCGGCACACTGCTATTTATTTCGGATGATGCAGAGCAAAGGAGCTTTCAAAAATGGGTCCACGGGGTCTTGTGCGACCCCTCCTGTGCGGACGGCATGCCACTGTGTTTGATGATGAAGAGCAAAGGAGCTTCGAAAACCGGCCAATGGCGTGTGTGTGTGTGTGATGTGATGTGTGACACCTTCCGCGAGCTCCTACGGCACAGCACGCGTTGCCACCAAAGAACTTAGCCATCAACCAAGAACTTGAGACTAGATAAATCCATAACCTAAGCAATTGGCCGTGAGAGCAGGTTGGCCAGTCAAGAAGCCTACACTCCGGGAGTTCCTTCGGCATACAACGTCCTCCGGTTTCGACGACGATCGCGGCGTGGCCGGGGGTACCGCAACAAGCCCCCCGGCAATCCTACCAGCCTTCAAAACGTCGCCGTGGGGGACAGTACAGTAGTCTCTACCCCTTACACAAGAATAAGGAAAGGGACGTCTTGGCCAAAATAAGGGGCCCTCTCAAGTGGGTGGCGCGTTCTGTATACATACAAGTACGTATGTCGCTTACTTGTCGTCGCTGCTAGAGTTCGCGTAGGTGGCCGCGAAGAAGATCGTGCTGAAGATCAGGGCGATGGAGGCCAGCAGCACCACCCCGAACGACACCCGGATGCCGTAGAAGATGACGGGCCACGCGGCTCGGACCGCCTCCACGCCGCGGCGGTACGCAGACTTGGAGAGCAGGGAGGCCCGGAAGTTGGAGGGGAAGTTGTACACCACGTCTCCTGCCGTAGTAGGAGTGCAAGTGTCCGTTGTGTGTGTGTGGGGGGGGGCTGTGAGCAAGAACTCCTATATCTCCAATTGTGGGGGAGGCTGTTATTAATACTCCGAATCAAGAAATTCGGTGTCTCCAAGGGCTAGTGGGAGGGGGCGTGAGCAAGAAATTCTATATCTCCAACGGCTAGTTGGAGGAGGTCCGAGCAAGAATTTCTTCAGCTCTAAATTGCCCCGTAGACAAGAGGTACCACCCCACAGTATGTGGGCACCAACTACTATAGGTTGCACAAGACACGACGCCCCCTGGACCCATCATCACAGCTCGATTTCGCTGCAGCCAAAGCAGTACTGTGCCGAAAGTTAAGGCGTTGGAACTGTCTCGTCGAGAGATTTCCGAAAGCGCAAACCGTTTGATTTTGGCATCCTCTTCGTCATGGAGTTGTACGTAGTCGAACTTTGAAAATCGGTCCAGGAGGCGTGGAAGCTTCATGCAAACCTACGGTACTCGTTGCACATGAAAAGCCGGATGACAGGTCGCGTCACACGACCCCGACTCGACGTGCCGGTTGGAAGCGCAAGGTAGGGGCACTACTTTGGGGACTTGACCCTTACGTGACTACAGGCCGATTCAGCTCCGTTCTCAGCTCCGATCACTTTGCGTGCCGAAAGATCGCCGTTGTGCCTCGGCTAAGAGCAAAAAAACTACATAGAGACCAGCAGGGAGACACAGGCAGTCCACCCCCAAAGCATGCTTATCAGCAATGCGCACAGAACTCACATAGTACAATACTATTCACCCATGCCTAATCTCTCTGACGTGGGGCAGATATCCTCTCCAGATCCAATCTACTGCCTATACCGGCACTGCTGTAGTCTAAGATTCAAACGCACAATACCACCGAAGAGGATACATAAAGCACCCTGAACATGTGATCAACCCGGTGCCGCATCCGCGGGGGAGAGCAGAGAAAGCGCCACCGGAGCCGATGCTAACGTACTGCCTCGGTGCTTGATGTTGTTGTGGTTGAGGTGCGTGTGGTTCCCAGTATTGGGAGTGAAGGGTGGTTCGTCTGCTGTGTGCAAAATTTCGCTCAAAGGCAAGGGTTTTCGGGACTACAGCTCCGATCACAGCTCCGATCACAGCTCTCTATTTGTAGTACGTATAGTAACATTTATCACGATTTTTATGCATTTTGTGCCATAGTGGATGATGGTCTCGATTCTCTGATGAGCGGGCCGTTTTTTTCGTCGATCTGGCGCTTCTGTTAGGCGGTTTCCCGTCAGCGTCTTCGCATCTAGCGCCGCTAGCATATGCGCTTGCCGTATGCTCTGTCCAAGGATGAGGTGGAGAAGATGTGCCAACAGGTCTTGCTTGCACAGGTACATCCTCTGTGCGGACGGTTGCTGTCGGAGACAGGCATGCACACCTGCCCAGAAACTACTGCTGCTGTACAGTCTATTTCTCTCCGCATAGCTGCTACTGCTGTACAGCAGTAGTACTACTGTACTCCTGTTCGTCACCCTTACATATACCGCGTCCTCATCCCTGTGAGCCCCACACATGGACCCACTGCTGCACCATCCTTGCCGCCGTGATTTATGGGTGTAAACGCATGCTTGGAAGATCTTTGACCGCAGAGAGCCAGTTGTGGTTAAGAAAAAAAAAAAAATTAACCTAGTCACGTAAGGGTTAAGAGAGGGGACGCTGCGGCCTTCAAACCTATGCACTCACGAAAGAGCGCACACAATAGCGAGTGTCTGCGTGGGATGACCCAGGAATGACGATAGCAGGGTATATTTACTACTTGGTACCGTTTCGCACGTGAGAGACAACCACGACAACACCCAACACCGTAAACAACAACATTAACAAGAATATGAACTTGTCTATGAGTTAGCGTGTGTCTGGCTGTTACCAAGGTACCCGGTACATTTTCTCATGTGAAGATAACCACAACGCCCCGACTAACACCGTCAAACAAACACAAAAACAAACATGAACTTGACGCGTATGCTAGCAGAGTATCCATACCTTTGGTGCGCGAAGACAACCACAACAAATACGACTACCGACTCCGCTTCCCAACAGCAACAAGAACGAAAAACATGGTGGCATCTCATCGCCCGCCCCGTTTCACAACACCACCACCAACAAGAACGCAAAACATCTTAGGTGCATCTCCATTCTCTCCCGACACACAACACCAACACGGGTTATACTGGGGAGAGGCGTCCGTCGGGTTTACTCTGTTAGGGCGTGCAGCATTCATCAACCACCAGTTCGCAAAACGCGCGGACGCAAGCAGGGGAATCATCCTAGCATACCGCGGGATCATTTGATTGTCATGCACAAGATCCAACGCCAACACCAACGTAAAACTTGGGTGCATCTCACTCACCGTCCTTGGACACCTCAAGGTCTCCGCCTACGATGTTGGCGAGGTTCACCAGCCCCCTCTTGGCCACGTTCAGGTCCACGCCGGCCAGAGCGGCCACGTCCGAGGGCACAGCCCTAAAGTTGTTGCGGTTTTCAACAGACGTTTCCGACAACAAACGAGCTCGCATTCAACCTACCAGTTTTTGATGGACAACTTCGACGATGATTCCAACACAAGAGGTCAAATTTAATAGACCCACTTTTCGAAGGAGAACTTCAACAATATTTCCCGCACAAGAAAACGATTCAACAGACCCACCCTCGACGGACAACTTCGACAATAATTCCAATATTCGGAGGCTCGTTGCTTGCTGTGCGGGGCACGGGGCGTGTTCATATTTCGAATGCCCTAGTAGTTAGACCATTGACCACGCGTCCTCGAGAGGACGGAGCATTGTTCCCACAGGACCGATCACCGATGGTCAACCGCTCCTTCCTACTTTGCCAAAGCACGTGGTGCGCGCGCGCGCGGGGGGGGGGGGGGCTGGTAGCACCTGTTCCCCGCCTTCTCGACGGCCTTGAGAATCCTCTCATCGGGTTCTTTGAAGATGTCGCCCAGCCCCGCCTCTAGCGAGGAGCCCATCATCTGCACCATAGACGAACCGCCCCTGGCCCCACCGCCGCCGTCCCGCCATTGCCTCCGCCTGGTGGTGTCGTCGAGCAACGCGGTTCATTCCGTAGCGGTGCCAGCAAGGGGAGGGGTGTACTCACAAAAAACGCCTTCCGTAGTCGTTAGGGCATTGACCTCGCAGCCCCACAATGCTGGGACGGAGCGATATGCCGGGTTTTCGCCGGCCCAGGCTACGCTTCAAAAGGACAAAAGGATGAACCGGACGCTGGTCACCACCCTTCGTGTGCTTTGCAAAACCAGATATTCCATGGGTTGGTTGGGCCTCCCCCGCTTACCAAAAGGGTGGGGGCTCATCCTTGCTGCTGTACGAACAAACAAACCAGACTCAGGCTGCATGCTTCCGCCACGAAAACGACGGGATGCTTTCTGAGGCATTGAGTTACTTGTTTGGTCCTGCCCCCCTTTTTGTCCACGGCACAACATTTTTTTTTCTCTGCTATGTGTTATCTGTCACAACAAAGGGTCTTCAGTTGGATGCCATGAGCACCGCTCCCCCCGTACTGCCGTAACATGGCCACTTTTTCTTGGCTCCGTACTTCTGTGTGCGTTTACCGTCAGAAACCCGAGGCAGACGGGTGGTTGGGTGTTTGGCGAGGGCAGGCCCCCCCGCCCCCCGCCCCCCAACGACAAGAGCCACCTTCGGCAGGGTCGGAAGGAACAGTTGGCCATCGGTGATCGGCCCTGCCGGAACAATGCTCTGTCCTCTCTCGAGGACGCGTGGATAATGGTCTAACCGCCAAGGCGTGCGAAAACATGTGTACACCCCGCCCACAAGACACCGCAGCGGTGCCTGGCTGATGAACGTTCCCGCTGCTGCTGTCTCACTTCGACTTGTGCTTCGAAACCACCAACGCTTTGAGTGTTAGATGTGCAGCAAATCCACTATGCTACAGGTCAGCGCATACTCAGTAGTGGATGTGCTGCACACATCAAACAAGAGTAGTGCATCCAACATTGAGGGAATTTGTTTCCCTCCAACTACCAGCAGTACCCCCTCTGATACCCCAGGAGCGGGTGTTGCAAAGCCCTGGCTTCCAGACTTACTTCCGCACGCTCGTGGGATGGCTGGCTGAGAGCCGTATGCACCCCCCTACCCCCGGCGCCCACGGAATCGACCACTTTTTCAGCGGGGTGAGGGTGAGAGCGGCGCCGATACGTGTAGGCAGCACGGGCCCTTGGTGGTGTTGCTATCTGGTTGAAGCCTGAGACAGCTTGAATGTTGGCATTTGTTTCATTTGCCGGACTTACACAGGGCGACCGACCCACATTGAAGCGGTCACATACTGGGGCCACGAGATTTGAAGCGTCCGTTGCGAAAAAACCTTACCAATCGCGGTCGATGCTACAGCAGTACCGGGGTGGTGCAGTAGTAAATAGCAACGCGCTTTACCGAAAACGTGCCCCCAATGCATCACAATGGAAATTTTGGACGAAGCACACAGCCGAGTACCCAGGAGACTTATCGGCCATATACGCCTCTGCGTCTATATACAGCAGGATTTCTGCCTTTTTACCCAGGGTACTTATTGGCCATATACGCCTCTGCGTCTATATACAGCAGGAATTCTTCCTTTATTTAGTGCTGCAGGTGGAGCACTGCAATCATTACCATCCTTCGTCGCGAGCGCCGTTCTGGGTACCGATCTCCAAGATCTCCGAGAGCCTGATTGGGTCAACAAGAAGTTGCACTTGATTTGCACCGTCAGTCTCACCCACCTTCGTGGCGAGTTCAACTCGGGCCTTACGCTCCCAGCAAGCCCCCCCCCGCCTATCCGCCCCCCGGCCCAGACAGGAGCTTGCGCTCCAGGCGTGGCGCTCCTGCTGCGGCCGACGGGGCTCGTAGCGTGACCACCGCGGCCGCCGCCGCTTGGCCTCAGCACCGTCATTCCCCTAGGCCCCGGTGCAAACGCGCTGCATGACGTTGTCCCGCAGGTCGCCAGCACGAGAGCTCCCGCGACCAGCGCGGTTGTGCGACTGGTGCAACTGCTGTGGCTTCCGCCATGCCTGTTGCTGCTGGTGGTGGTTCCGCGAGCTCCCGTTGTTGTTGGAGACGGCATGCTTGCTGCTGCCGTTGTCAGGAAGCAGCTCATGATCATGCTTCCAAGTGTCAAATCCCGGTGACACAGCCAGGCAGGTTTTCGATATGATGTGAATGCCCGAATTTCCCCTCTGTTGCTGCGAACTCCTAACTCTGATAGAAAGGGCCTGATGTACACCGTAGTGCAGGCTGGGGAAGTCACACAAGAGCAAGGCACAGACAGCACAGACAGAGCAGGTGAGCAGGCTGCCTCGAGCACTCCTGGGGGAGTCACGCAGTGCGAAAACAGCCCCCCCTAGCCTTTTTCTTGAGGTGGGGGCCCCCTCGACCGGTGATCCAAGATTGATTACGTTGTGTTGCAAAGCAAACTGGATCGTGTTCTAGAAGCAGACCATTGTACACTCATGTACAGTATAATCTGCTGAATTAGAAGTTGCACAGCCTAGGACACGCTTTGCATCTAACAAGGGCTAAAACATGCCCTGCGATGATGCAGGGGAAAGCTGTCGTGTCCTCATCGCTGCGATCGATTGCTTTTTTCCGACCCAAACATACATGCGGCAAAATATGTTGTTGTTAACGTTTATTTTTGTCACCTTAATTGAGGACCCAAATTGGATGGACCTAATTATGGGTTTTTGGCCAAAAAGGGCTTGCGTCGTTTTAACGCAATTTTGCCACATCGAAGTTCGGCAACACCCAAATGCGGCGGAATCGCTGCCGCGAGGTGACGTGGTGACCCAACCAGGTAGAGCGATAGAAGACCATGTGCACCACACGGGAGCTGAAAAATACATCAGCACCACACGGACGGGAGCTAAGGCCATTTCTTACGGTTCTTTTTTGGGGCTGTCTTTTTCTTTTTTCCTTCTCAAAAAATGACAACTCGCCAAAGAACACCTTCTTAGCATCAGCAGACAGAGTGCCAGCGGTCCAAGCCTCATCCTCAGGCGTGTTCTACAACTGTTGTTTGGACTTTGACTCGCTGCACACAACCGGCCGTTGACTTTTGACATCGCACATATATATATTGGAAAGCAACTTCCACAGCGACCCAACCAGCGCGAAAAGTTGGCACGCTCACAGATTCATTGCAATACAGCTATTTCCCAGCAGCGGGCAGTGGGCGATGCGTGTGGGTGCCGCACGGCCAGTGTGCCACATGCAGTCCCGTCAGGGACATCGCCAGCTCATCACGGGGGGTGCAAAAGGGGCGCAGTGCAACTCGGGTACTTCGATTCAGCAAAAAACAACTCAATTTGCAATTGTTTTCTGCTGCACCCAATATCGAAGTCCTGCTTTTCCGGGCAGAGAAAGCCTCATCGTGTTTTTTGCTGTTGACCAATCAGCGTCTTTGGCCCCCGGCACCCCCCCGAACCTTATTTTTTGCAGGGCCTCAATTTAGGTGACAAAAATAAACGTTAAAACAGGCCCCTATATTAATGAGCAAACGTATGGGATAAAGTATTCAATCCATGCTTTGGGGTTGGGGTTAGGGATAGGGTCTGCGTGCCCCCTCCCTATTTCTTTTCAAGATACTCGCAAATCCTGCGTAGGCGGTCCGCTTTTCTCGGGGCTATGCTTCTCCTACGCGTGCACATTTCGCTCGTGAATCTTCTTATAGTAACGTGCTCCTCTTCTTCTACACCAGTCTCAAAGAGACAGCATGCAAGCGCTTCTTGGGCTACCCAGGCGATCGAAGCCGACCAGGTCGTTCATTGATGAAGAGCATCTTCTTCATGGAACACACATGCATGCACAATCATCATTCTCCCGCCAGTGTGAAGTATGTCTCCAAACGAACTCTATCTAACAGGCCAACTTTCTCTACTGGCCGCGATGACCCCCGGTACTGAGCCACACGTGGAGGCGTGCTTTCGTCTATTCCCCGATGCCCCGTAAACACAATGAATGGCGAAATACTTCGAAGTTTGTTGCAATTCTTTTGGCAAAAAGTAAACTACCGGCGGCTCTAGGACAAATAAATCCCTTTAGACATTCATCGAAAACGTCAATCACAGCCTCTTCCTCGAGTGCTCAACTCACGCCTTAACCCACACGCCATCCGCCCCCAAGGCTTTTCCTCAAGGCCGAAAGGTAGGAAAAAGGACGAAAACATGAACAAGACAGGGCCTGCCCCACCGTCGGAATCCCGCCGTCCCTGCGAATATACACACACATACCGTCACAGCGTTTACCCACCTTGTTGACAATGCTGCTACGGCACTGCTACTAATGCTAAAAAAAATCCTCGTCTATTTGCCTGCGTTCGCAATTATCTACCAGCTACTGCACTAATGCTACCGTACCTCCGACCCATGGCCACACCAACAGTACAGTAATACTCTTCTGCGGTGCAAGCCATCAATCTTATCGCGACAAGATAGCTCAGCCCCCCCCCCCCGCCGCCGCCCCGCCAAGAAATCAAACAAGTCAGTCTACACCGAACATTTTTTTAACGCAAAATAAAAGTTTGTTAGTAGAACCGGGGCACAAACTTGGCCACCGCCTCGCGATAGCTCTCGTACGCCTCTCCATGCAGAGCCACGAGAAGACTCTCCTCCTTGTCCACCTTCTTGTCGAGCACCAAACTGTAGTAGAGGAGAAGAGGGAGGGGGGAATCAACAAACCATAGGCAATTCAAAGCACAGCGGGGCCCCGCGGAGTCGTGCATGTTGGGGGTGAGTGTCGCTCGCGCGCTGCCGGGTACATCTACGCCCGGCCCTGTTGTGCGCGGTAAAAGCTAAAAAATCTTTTATGGTTGTTGTTGTTCAGGTCGTAACCCTAACCCGAGAGGGTTTGAGGAAGCAAGGCGGTCGACAGCATCTCAACAAAAAGCAATCCGATTGCCGTAGGCGACATGACACAAGATACCACATCCCCTGGACCGAATTTTTTCAAATCGCTCCAAGACGAAGGGGATGCCACACTCAAGCGATACACGTGGTCGAGTTTCTTTCGAAAAGGCGGTTCCAACGCCGCCAATTTCGTCACCGGCGCTGTGTTTTCGCTGCAGAGCAGTCGAGCTTTGGCATTCGGTCCAGGGGGTGCGGTGTCTTACGCAATCTACGGTAGCCCTGAAGCACTTACGCGAGCAAGGCGGCCAAGAGCATCCTCAGCGGAGAGTTGGTCACCACTCCGAACCCGAGGCAGACCATCACCAACCCTGCGAGGCGGAAACAAGCGGGACACCGGGTGCACCCAAAAACAACGGAGCAGGAGAGAGGGCAAAGGAATGGTTTCCGAATGTGTATGCCTCCTCAACGATCACCGACCGCTAACCGGCAGCTGCCCCTCCACGGCCGCGCTGTAACGCTGTTGCACCGCCGGTGGCGAGTCGTCGATGTCGACTCTCTTTTCATCGATAGAGGGGGGCGGTCGGGTTGCTCGTGAGACCCAGATCCCCTTCAACTGTGGTATATTAACTCGAACGGGTACAATGTT